CCTTCCTTCCTTCCTTCCTTCCTTCCTTCCTTCCTTCCTTCCTTCCTCCTTCCTTCTCTCTTCTTCCTCCTTCTCCCCCTCTCCTATTCCTTCTCCTCTTCTTCCTCCTTTCTTTTTGAGACAGGCTCTTGCTATGTTGCCCAGGCTGACCTCAAATTCCTGCATCAGCATCTCAAGTACCTGAGACTACAGCTATGCTCCACCGTGCCTAGCAACATCTTAATTGTGAAATGTTAAAAACTTTTCCAGAAACAAACCAGGATGTGTAAAATGCTACCTCTACTTAGCATTGTGCTGGAGGTTCTAGTCAGTGGTTTAAGAATGAGGGGTGGAGGGGAGAAACGGAAGAGAAAGGAGGATAGAAGAGTATAATGATTGGAAAGGAAGAATAAGTCATTATTTACATCTGTACAATTATATATGAAAATTCACAGGTGAACTCTTAGAATTAATGAGCATTTAATAAGGTTGGACATATTATCAACATGTCAAGATTTGTTGTGTTTTTATATACTGAAAACAAAAAATCTTTGAATTGCAAAAGTCTAAAAATATGAAATATATGGATAAATCTAACAAAAAGTAATTCCTCTATGGAGAAAATTACAGGATTTAAGAATCAAATTGTTGAGGTATATAGATATATTATCAAACAAACAGGTGGGTGATCTCTTGCATTATAAGCATTGAGTATGGTACAAATAAGACATTGTATATTTGTGGGAAAAGTATCAGTCAGCGGTGCTGGGACAGCTCTCTAGCTACAAAGAAGAAAAACACAGTTGAATTGCCTTCTTCACCCTTGGAAAAATGACTTACAGAGGGATTAAAGATTCATATGTGAAAGGCAAAACTATTGGACTTCAGGAAGATAATATAGAGAATATTTTCAGAAACTAAGGGAATGGAAGGGCAATCATTAAAACAAACAGGCCTAACTATGAAGAAAAAGGTGGATAGATTTGACTTCCTTAGAAGAATTTATACCCATCAAAAGACACCAATGAAGGGCATGTGTGTACACACACATGCACACACACATATAGTTTTAAACTTTCTATAACAGAATAATACCATATGTAATATATATATATTTATAGAGAGAGAGAGAGAGAGAGGAATATTTGCTTTACAAAAGAATTATTGTCTAGAATAGTCAAAGGACTCTACCAATAGAAAAACTACAACCCACTAGAAAAATGGAGAAAAGATTTGAATTTGCTCTATAGAAGAGAAAATCCAAATGACTAATGAAAAGATAAAAAAAAGAGTATCAATGATATATAACCACACCATTTATTTTCAACCAGTTGCTTAAAGTAAAGAGTTCTTGTAATATTAATATTAAGAGTTGGTGAGGACATGGAGTACTAGAATCTCCTGTCCTGATGGTTTGAATGCAAATCAAGAATGCAAATTGGCAAAATTTTGAAGAACGATTTGGCATTATGTGGAGAAGTTAGTAATGTGCATAGTTCACTTACTTTAGTATGAGTACCTTGGACATGCTCTTGTGTATGTCCACATGGGTACATGCATAAGAATGCTCCCATGGTATTGTTCCTAACAGTCCTGCACTGTGAAGAACTCAAATAAATGTCTTCTAACTGTGTCATGATGCCTGCATTGTAGTGTATTCTTAGAGTAGGAAGAATATGTGCCCTGAAAATGAATGAACCACAGCTACATTAAACAACATAGATGAATTACTCAAACATAATTTGAGCGAAAGAAGCAAATCATAAATTAATACACAAGGTATTATTTTGCTATAGAAAGTTTAGAACCATACAGCAAAACTAACCTATATTGTTATAAACAATCATTTAGTGTTGCATATAAAAGTGGTTCGATGGAATGAAAATCAAGGAATTGATTATCATTGAAGTTAAGTTAATGGATCCTGCTGGAATTGGGCAGGAGGTTTGTGATCACAGAGGATGGTGCAGGAAGTTATTGAGTGACTGGCAATGATCTCCTACTTGTCTTGGGTAGTGATTTCCTGGTGTTCGGTTCTTTGCTATTTCCTATACTGTATATATATTATGCATGCATTATATATTATTATGCATAAAGGAAAGAAATAAGATCTTATATCATTCTTATGGAGCTAACAATAGAAAAGACAAGACTTTTAAATGGGTAATTTTAATGAAATATGTTAAATACTTTAAAAATAATAACAACAATTTACATTTATGGATAATTAAGTACTATCTACTATTCTAAATATCTTGTGTAATATTATTAAATATTATTAATATTATTAGTAATATTATTAATATTATTAAAGAAGTCTGTGAGGTATAGGCAGTATTTTTTTTTTTTTTGCTTATGAGGGAAAGAAAGCATAGAAAATTCATTTCGCTTGGGAAGGGGTGGGGGGTGGAGCTGGGATTTGAGCCCAGGCCAGTGTGCATAACTACTGCACAATCTGCGTCTTAATTTCTGCCAAGAACCCCCAGGGGATGAAGAGGAAAGACTTCCTATTTGATTTGAGTTTGCAAAGCTCCATGAAAGTTGTCAGATGGAGATGACTTTTTAAAGGTGAAGGGGCAACTCTCTTGAGAGAGCCTGGCACCCTTCAGGCAAAGAAAAACAAACAAACAAACAAACAACTGAGCCCAACCAACAGGTTTTCTTGGTGCAGCAGAGGAAATGCAAGTACATAGAAGCCTGGCGGGGCAGGGCAGGGTAGGGTGGCAGAAGTGTAGGATGGATAAAGGAAATGACAAGAGACAAAGCCATGACAAGGATACTTCATTTCTAGGAAGTGTGGGGAGGTTCATTGGTGGGAGGTTGGAAAAACTGGTATAAGACCATGGAAGAAATGGTGAAGGCTAGAGCCAAAGCCGGAAAAGTAGGGAGAGAAAGACAAAGACCTATATGGGAAGTATTTCTGATGTGACCAATATGCAAGGGAGTGAGTGGCCGTCAGGAGAGGTATATAATAAGGCTAAGGATGGCAGGGAGAGAGAAGCTCCAGAAGAGAGTGGAGCATGTCTGGATATTTTTCAGTAAGTTTGTACTCTCTATGGATCATGGGGGGAAAAGAAGAGATATATTCAAATTAATACCAACCGCAACATCAAGGAAAGATGGCGGCTCTGCAGGACATTAGAGAGTTAATAATAGCACATGCTCAGGAATCCAAGCAGGGGAAGTAGGTGAAACCACAAGAGCAGTGTGGCCAGTAGAGGACCTTAGGAGAGGTTGGCCTTGAGACAGGGGCCATCAGAGAGAGATAAGCACAATTGGGAGTGACGTTCTGTAAGCCATGGGACAGCAGAGCCCTGATGAGTAGGCAGGGTCAGTGCCACCCGAAATGACAGGCAGAAGAGGACCAAGGTGGGCAATTTGGAGTCTCTGGTAACAGCAAAGTAGGCGCAGGAAAGTGGGTTGCCCTTGGCCACCATCAGCTGAGGAAGAATAGAAATTGAGGAAGTAGGTATTTCCTTCTGATGAGTCTACCAGGAGGAAATGTGAGGTGGCTAAAGGAGCCATGGGGTGATCTTTTGGGTGAAAGAGACTTAAACTGAAAAGAAGGAGTTTTAGAGGAAAGGGAAAGATAGAGGGAAAAGAAATAATGCGTCGATTAAGGTCTCAGAGGAGGCGGGAAGAGGCATGATCTGAGAGCCTGACAGAGCCAAGAAAACCAGGCTGCCTCCATTTTGCAAAATGGTGTTTTGGAGGGAAAGGAGTTTGTACCTCCAGAGAGGCGTGAAGCAGAGAGGCTGAATGCAGACGAGATTGTGTGAGATGACCCAGAGGTGACTGTGTGTGCACTAGCAGCTTAGCTTGAGGCTTCCTCACTGAAATGCTGGTCTCTTGAATCAATCATGTGTTAATTCATGATTTGCCCAAAATAAACGTAGGAATAACTGCACTAAGCTATTAAAAACATTGGTAACTCGTCTCTCATGAACTGGAATGGATGCTTAAACTGTTACAAGCCGACTTTCCTTCTTCCACTGTTTGATTCTTATTTTGCACACTAGGAAGGCGAATGGTCCTGTGGTGCACAAGCACTGGCATATTTTTGTTTGGAATAATGTCAGTATTTACGTTTGATTATTATAGCTTCGTGATCGCACGCTTTCTTCTTGCTGTGGTGAGTTGTTTTCTCTTACCACTTTAGTTCTGCTACGATATTTTCATTTTTACCTTAATTCTTTTTAGTTTTGCTCATTTAGAATCTGGTGAGAGACATCAAGGACTGGCTATAACTTAAAGCCTGTTGACCAACCCTTTCCCATCTCCACTTCCCCCTTACCCTCTTTAGCTTCTGTGGCATATTAATGACTTATGTTTAGAATGGAACTCATTTACATGAAAAATTGCCTCTTACTGGGCAGAAATTTTTTTTTGCTCGACTATGCTCCCACCCTAAAATGACAAAGGCATTGTTTTATTTCTGAGCAATTATTCTGGTCTAGTCAGGACCTGTATACCCAAACCAAACCGACAAAAGGTATTGTCAAAGTGGTTTGTATAATGTAAAGAAGAATATAAATGACTCTTTTGAATCTTTTTAAAAAAATATTTTTGAAGTTGTCGATGGGCCTTAATTTTATTATTTTTATTTATTTATTTATAGTGCTGAGAATCCAACCCAGTGCTTCACACTCAATGCGAGGCAAGGGCTCTGCCACTGAGCCACAACCGCAGCCTGAGGCATTGAATCTTTATGTTATGAGGATTGGGGGAGTCCAGTGGACAGATCAGGAATTTGAAAACCATTTTTGTCATATATTGACAGCCATATGACCTTACACAAATATGCTATTCTCTTAGAGCTGTGATTTCTATTCTATAAACTATAGAAAGTAATACCTGTTTCCTGGGTTGTTATCAGGATTCAGTGAGACTCAATGTAAACACCCATGTTGCAACCCCTGGCACAGAGCAGGCACATCTGACAATGGCAACTGTTACAGGAAGTGGGCAGCAGGCAAGAAGCTGTTTCCAGGATCAATGAAGCTTTCCAGACAAGCTTCTAAACTATTAAACAATAGTGATTTTTTTTTTTTTTTGATTAGAGGTTGTTGATCAAGACTAATGGAGTAAAGTTTGTATCTGGGGGGAAGAATTTGTGATCTTAATAAAATCAGAGCAGGGTATGCATAAAAACCCCACCTGGGGGGCAGGGTGGATGATGAGGGTCCAGAGTCAAGACAGGGACTTCAAGCTCAGAAGAGATCCCCAGGACCCTTCGGGAACAAGGTGGTATGTTTGGTTTTGGTGGATGCAAAGGGATGGTCAAAGTTGAAGAGATATTTTTTTTAAAACAATCTTTGTAGTTGTAGATGGACAGAATGCCTTTATTTTATTTATTTATTTTTATGTGGTGTTGAGGATCAAACCCAGTGCTTCACAAATGCTAGGCGAGCACTCTGCCACTGAGCTACAGCCCCAGCCCTGAAGAGAGATGTTTTAAAGTATAGAAAATTAAAGGTGTTGGGCTGGAGTTGTGGCTCAGCAGGAGAGGGCTCACCTAGTGTGAGCGAGGTCCTGGGTTCGATCCTCAGCACCACATAAAAATAAATGTATTGTGTCCAACTACAACTAACTAAATAAAATATTTTAAAGAAAGAAAATTAAAGGTGTTGCACCCGAAATAAAAGTAAACACACATATTTAGAAATGTAAAGAGTCTGTTCATATGAAAGATAGAAACCAGTAGTTCTGTTTCAACTGAAGACATGGCTCCATAATTCTAGGGTCAGATTTGTTGAGAGAGACCTTTTGGAGGGCTCCATAGAGGCATATGTACCGAGAAAGTCTGAAGGTCCCTTTTGGAAGACTTATAAGGATAATACTAAAGTTATCTGTTTCAGTCTTGCAAAATACCCCGAATTTGTTCACAGAGCCAAGAACATGAGGCTGTACCTGTTGAACACATCTGAGAAATGTGGTCTTTAATTTTTGGAACTCTTTTCTTTGATTTTTCAAGGGAAATAAATTTGTGGTAGAATTCCAAGTATGGGAGATGCAGACAGATTCATTTACTCAGATATTTATTGATCTGTCTGTAGAGTGCAGTGCTAAATAAACCAGACCCGACTGTTTCAATCATTCTACAGTCTAGAGGAAAACAAGGATGTTGATCATCCATCTTTAAAATACAGAAATCCTATCATACGTGACAACATGGATGGAACATCATTATGTTAAGTGAAATAAACCAGGCACAGAAAGACAAGAACCACACAACCTCATTCATGTGTGGAATCTAAAACAGTAGATCCCATAGAAGTTGAGAATAGAATGGTGGTTACCAGAAGCTAAAGAGGGTAACGGGGAAGTGGAGATGGGAAAGGGTTGGTCAACAGGCTTTAAGTTATAGTTAAAAATGAGAGGTTCTGGTGTGCTGTTGCACAGTCAGTTGACAATAGATGGTCATAATGTCTAGATAGCAATAATGTCTTGAATACTTCAAAAAAGCTGGAAGGGATTTTGAATGTTTTCACCACAAAGAGATGATAAAAGTTAGTCGGGAGCAATGGCACATGTCTATAATCCTAGCAGCTTGGGAGGCTGAGACAAGAGGATCCTGAGTTCAAAGCCAGCCTCAGCAAAAGTGAGACTTTAGACCTGGCACTTGAGCTTAGCATGCAGAGTGAATGTCTGTCACGAGCCTGTCATGATTAAGAGTGTTTACAGTGTTTAGAATTAATCTGCATGCTAAGCTCAAGTGCCATGTCTAAAATCTCAAGCCTTAGGCTCTAAGTCTGGCAGATGCACAGTCACACAGACCTCAGTGGTCAGATCAGGGACCGAGGGGTGGAGCTGACGGCCGGTTGAAGAGAGGGTCATAGGGAGAAGTTGCAGTTCTCATCAGGGCCAAGAGTTTGTAGCTGTAGAGTTTGAGAGCTGTGAGGAAGATGCAGAGGATCAGGCAAACGATGAGAAGAGTTGGGATGTTAGTCCAGGTCCTCATCAGGCTCTCCTGCATGAGGGCATCAGTGTCGGATGGCTGAATGTCTGTTCATTTGCTCCATCATTTATACTAAATTTTGGGGCTTCTGACCACTCTTTGAATCCCTATCAGCTGCCACTGGATTTCTCAGTGACATCATTTGCCCTGGGGTTAAAGCATCTGGTCTGGTGGTCCCCACCCTGATTTTCTGGCCTTTTTCCCTTATCTGAGGACGGCAACTTGACAGAGACTTCACTCTGAGCTTGTCAGGGTGGGGATAAGTGATCTGATTATGTCAGGGCTATGCCTGATGATCATATTGGAGGGCTCCGTATGCCATGCCTGGTGAGACTGCAGGTTTCAAGTGGAGTTTTAAAAATGGAGTTGCTTAGGCTAAGGCCTAAGGCCATCCTTACACAATGGCAAAACTGCCTGAACCTATGCCCAAACCTTGCCCAAATTCTGGATCTGGCAGAGAGAGACCAGTTAACATGGTTTCTCTTCAAAAGTAAACACCTGTGAAGATAATGACATAATGAGTCTTAAAAAAGTGTGATTTAAGTATCAGAGGATTAAAGGAGGTCTTTGGGCATATCAATGGTACTCTAGGATAATTTTGCAAAAAAATAGAAGACAAAAACAAAACAAAACAAAATAAAAAACCCTGTGATTTGTGCAGTGAAAGTCAAATGTGAAATGATTTTGTAGGAAAAATTTCAATCCCTTTAACCTTGCCTCCCCCCCAAATACCTATTTTTGATTTGTTCTTTGTTTATCCCAAGAGGGATCAGATATGGTTATTACAATTGAAATTTTACTAAAGATCTTTCTATCTATCTATCTCTCTCTCTCTCAGGGATTGAACTTCATTAACCACTGAACCACATCCCCAGCTCCCCCTCCTTTAAAAGAAAAAGATAACAACATTTTTTTATATCTTTATTTTATTTATTCATTTTTATGTGGTGCTGAGGATCAAACCCAGTGCCTTGCACATGCTAGATAAGCACTCTACCACTGAGCCACAACCACAGCAACCCCCCACCTTTTTTAAATATTTTATTTTGAGACAAGATCTTGCTAAATTGCTGAGGCTGGCTTTGAACCTGTGATCCTCCTGTCTCAGCCTCCCAAGGTGCTGGGATTATAGGCATGCATCTGGCATGATAGGCATTTTTAAAAAAATAATTTTAGTTGTAAATGGACACAATGCCTTTATTTTATTCATTTATTTTTAATGTGGTGCCAAGGATCGAACCCAGTGCCTCTCATGTGCTAGGCAAGCACTCTACCACCCAGCTATAGCCCCAACCCGATAAGCATATTTTTAAACTACAAGTTTCCCCTTGATTTTTTTTTTGTTGTTGAGGTAAAATACACATAACATAAAATTTACCATCTTAACCATTTAAAATGTACTGTTTAGTGATATTAAATATGTTCCTTTTGCTTTACAGCCATTACTGTTGTGCATCTTCAGAACTCTTTGTTTTGCAAAGGTGAAATTCTGTGTCCATTAAACAACAACTCCCCATTCCTCCTCTCCCCAGTTCCTCATAACCACCATCTACTTTCTGTCTTTATTATTTTGACTACTCTAGGTACCACATTTAAGTGGAACTATGATACAGTATTTGTCCTTTTGTGCCTGGCTTGTTTCACTTGGTGTACTGTCCTTCAGTTTTATCCATGTTGTAGTATCCGAATTCCTTTCATTTTCAAGACTGAACAGCCAGTCTTATCTAATGGTGTGTGTGTATACACACACACACACACATATATATATGTGTGTGTGTGTTTGTGTGTACATTTTCCTTATGCATTCATCTGGGTTTTAAAAATTTTTATTCTAATTTGTTATATATGACAGCAGAATGCATTACAATTCATATTACATATATACAGCACAATTTTTCATCTCTCTGCTTGTACACAAAGCATATTCACACCATTCGTGTCTTCTTCATACATGTATTTAGGGTAGTGATGTCCATCTCATTCCACCATCTTTTTTTACCACCTTGCCCCCTTCCTCCCCATGGCTCCCCTTTGCCCTATCTACAGTTTGTCTAATCTTCCCATGCTCCCCCTCCCAAACCTACTATGAATCAGCCTCCTTATATCAGAGAAAATATTTGGTATTTAGTTTTGGGGGATTAGCTAACTTCATTTAGCATTATATTCTGCATTCATCTGTTGATAGACACTTGGGTTATTTCCACATTTTAGCTATTATTAATAAACTGCTATAGAAATGGCTATACAAATGCGTCTTTGAGACTGCCCTTTGCTTTCAATTCCTGTGGGTTTATTCCCAGAAGAGGAATTGCTGAATCATATGGTAACATTATTTTTAATTTCTTGAGGAATTGCTGTATTGTTTTCCATATGAGCTATACCTTTTTACATTCCATTTATTACTGTTCACAAAGAGTGCATAGGGTTCTAATTTCTCTACATCCAGCCAAAACTTCTTTTCTTTTCTTTCCTCTTCCTCCTCCTCCTCCAACTCCTCCTCCTCTTCTTTTGATAGTACCTGTCTTAATGATTGTGGAGCGGTATCTCCAGGTTTTGATTTGCATTTCCCTAATAATGATGTTTCATGTGCTTATTGGCTACTTGTGTATTTTCTTTGGTGAAATGTCTGCTCAAGTCTTTTGCCCTTGTTCGAACTGAATAATTTGTTTTGTGTTGTTGAGTTCTCTGTATATTCCCTTATCAAATATATGATTTGCAAATGTTTTCTCTGTTCTGTAGGTTGCCTTTTCATTCTGTTGATAGTATCCTTTGACGTGCAGAAGTTTTAATTTTCATGAAGTCCAATTTGTCAATCTTTTGTTGTTGTTGCCTGTTGAAATCAAGTTTTAACCAAATCTGTTTTTCTTCCCACTAGTTACCATAAATTTTTGTCCCTATTTAACAATTAGAATTTAGCAATGAAGACTTTATGTTTATAGATAAACATATCCGTGCATCTAGAAGGAACATTATAATGGACTATTTAAATGAAACAAGAAGCAGTGTTAGCAGTGATATCATAAATACTGTCTGAAGTGTGCTATTTGGGGTGGGAAGGGTGGGGAAAGATAAAAGGAGCCATTTAAAGAAGAAATATGATCAGATTGAATGCCATTTTATAAATGTGAAATGGTTTACAGAAAGCCATTGTCATTTTCTTTCTTACCTAAATGTGATTTGCATAGAGATGGGACCTCTCAGTGGATGGAAATGTGACCTTAACTATGGAACCCCTCCATTCTTTGTCTTTCAGACTGCAAGTGGCTATCATGTGGTAGTGTTCACCTATGTCATGGAATTCATTGGTATGAAGTTTCGAACGTGTATGTCCATCCATTTACATACCTTCTTTGCAATTGGGATAATAACAGTGGCTTTGATGAGCCAAATAGTCAAAACCATGTGGATTTACCAAATGATTCTTTCCACTGTGACTGTCCCCTTTATCCTTTGCTGTTGGATGCTCCCAGAGACACCTTTTTGGCTTGTCTCAAAAGGAAAATACAAAGAAGCACAAGTTCTAGTTGATATTATAGCTGAGGGTAATCATGGTACGCCCTGTGACCTGTCAGAACTTTTTTCACTGGATCTAAATGGTCCTGTCAATAATACTTCTGTAGCTAATAAGCACAATGTAACAGAGCTGTTTCTTGACTGGAACATTGCATCAAGGATATTTATGCTTTGGATCATTTGGCTTACATGTTCTTTGGGATTCTCCTTTTTCAACATGGATAGATTTAATGTAATAAATGATGAATACTTACGGCTCATCCTAGTGGGTAAGTAATTAAAATATATTTAAATGTGGCAGTGAAATTTCTGCCAAGTTTTTTAGTGTTTTTTTATTGTCTTTTTATACCAGGAACAATATTGCTAGACATATTATTATGATATCTTTCAGTATCTCTCTCTCTCTCTCACACACACACACACAAATACATACATACATACACACACACACACACATCATTTTGAGGAAAAGGCCAAGAGTTAGAAGAATTAGTTTCTTCCCTTATCTCTTCTCTCCTTGCTTCCTTCCTACCCTAGAATCCTTCCCAGGGATAACTTCTAGAATGTTTGGCTTATACCCTTTCAACTCTCTTTCGATGCATTTCATATATTTGGCATATTAATTGTTCTGTATTTTAGCATGAATGAGCTCATTCACTACATATTGTTCTTTGTAAGTTGCTTTTCTTTTACAATTTAATATGTTTTGGAGGTCTGCAATCTTTTTACCTTCAAATTTCCTTAATTTAAAAATTTTGAGTGGTAAAATAGCTTCAATACAAGCAACTATAATTTATGCTGACACACTTCTTTAATTTTAGGAGCAGGTTAAAGTGGCTTTAGATAGCTTAAACTATAACTTACCGTGTGAGCCAAATGTGAACTAAACCTAAAAGAAGTGTTAGAAATCTGCATTTGTCCACCTGTCTGAACTCCTGGTAAATTTTGTGTAGGCTGCCTGTATTTCATATTATGCTCAAAAATCTTGCTTTTATATTTTGTACATACACCTCATCCCTTCTTATCAAAGTGTTCAGATGACATGTCTATTTTTATTTATTATAGCTCAGGAAGAATAATGGGAAAAGTTGTTTTAAGAAAAAAAAAAAAACCTCTTTTCCGGAGTAAAATAACATATAGAAAGAGCCCGTCTTAACTTCAAATATCTTCTATGTATCAGTTTGAGAAATGATGCAGATTTCCTAGAATAGAGCAGCAAATGGTAGGAGAAGCAAGTGGAATGGAGTGTGTATGGGGAAGCTTAGGAAAGCCGGAGGTCTAGATCTTTGTGGTACATTTTGATGGCTTTAGATAGCTTAAACTATAATGGCGTGTAAGTCAGCTTTCTATCACTATAACAAAATACTTGAAATAGTCAACTTATAAAGAGAAAATATTTATTCTGGTTCACAGTTTTGGAGGTTTTAGTCCTTGATCTGTTGGCTTCATTGCTTTGGGCCTATGACAAAGCAGAGCATGGTGGGAGGGCGGAGTAGAACAAAACCACTTACTTCATGGCCAGGAAGCAAAGAAGAGAGAGTCAAGGGGCTGGAAATCCACAGTCTTCTTCAAGGGCACACCCCTAACACACCTAACTTTCTCCTAGGAGGCCCTACCTTCTAAAGGTTCCAGCACCATGCAGCAGCACCAGCCTGGGGATCAAGCCTTTGGGGGACATTTAACCTTGAAGCTATAGCTTGGAGATTTAATTTCTTGGAAATTTAAATTCTCAAGAAACTGAGCTGGGCACGCACTGTGGTACATGCCTGTAGTTCCAGCTCCTTGGGAGGCTGAGGACCATTTGGTTTACAAGTTTTAGACTGTCCTGGACAATGTAGTGAGACCCTGTCTTAAAACAAAACAAAATTTAACCACCAACTAACTGGAGGATCTCATAAGTGTAGAAATGTTTCCAAAGACAAAATCTACATCTTTTACATTATCTACTGCTTTCAGTTTTTCATATCATTACCCTCCGTGTTAGTACTCTTGCTAACAGGTTCTTATAGTTAATATTTCTCTGCTGTGAATTTTTTTGAACAAGTTTCCATCTTCTGAGATAGATTGGGACTGGTGGAAATTTCAGCTGTGGCTATTCTGCCATTTGCAGGTGATCAGTAGCTTCAAGACATATTTTTGGGATTGTGTGGTGAGAAGGGCAGTAGAATGGGGCCTAAGTTATACACGATATATCGTAAAATGCAGGAAGTAATGGCACACTGTCTCAATTCCAGAAGAGTTGGGCCTCCTTGTTTGCACCATTTATATCCAGGTATATTCAAGCTAAATATGGATATAGTATCGGTTGGTATAGAAACACCAAATCAAGAAAACCAGTGTAGTACACTTTAAATGTCTCAGATTGTGGCCCAGCTTTGCAAGACTCTAGGAAGTTGATTGATGGCCCTGTACACAGTCCTGTTTGAGGAAAAGCCTGGAGCCAGACATGGAGGGAACTGCACTTGGACACCCAAAGACCTCACTTCCAGACCCCAAGCTGTCATTACTCATGTGGCTCAAATCATTTATTCTTAGTTGTATTGAGAAAGTTCTTTTGAAGACAACTATATTATTTAATCTTGAAAAATGCTTGATAAACTCTTTGAAAAGTAGAGTAAAATGGATGTACATTCTGTCTTGGACTGCAAGTCTAGGCATGGCAGCAGGACCTATGATAGGGAGATATTTCCTCCAGAGTTAGTTTTTCTGTTAATCAAGAGCAGGAGAGACCTTCTTTCAAATTGGGGTTCCTAGTGTTAATTCTTGCCTTTTCCTAAGCTATTTTTATTGAGTTGTTTACTCAGAAAAATATGTCTACCCTCCTATGATCTGTTCCAGAAGCTGTGAGATACATATATATCGCCCGACCTGTCTCTCTTGAGCTTATAACATTACAGAACTGTGAATGGTGGCCAATATCTGCATTGGAAAATAGTGAAAATTTCCCAAAGGAGATTGCTGGTTTTGCTCAGTGATGCTGGAAGATCTTCCAGCTTGTTCCCTATTTGGTTCTGGTTGATAGCTATAAGATCTTTTTGTTCTAGATCTAAGAGTCAAACTTTGATTCTACAAGGGAAGGCTTTTTATGTTAGTGGATTTACAGATTTATGAATTCAGCTCCTTTTTTTCTTCTTTTGGAGGAGCTAAAAAGAGGTTCAAGACAAAGTCCCTGTTCTAGGGAATTTGAATTAGATTTAAAAATTGTTATGGGTCAGGTTGCTCAGAAAACATACCAAGACCCAGTTTTGTCCAAATTGAAGAGTCTGTATTTAGCCAGCTGGCTGGCAACTTCTCCTCACAGGACCCATCACTGTCTCTGCAAGGAACAGCTTTGAGCTTTAACATTTTAGGGTATTTAAAGGAAAAAACCACATCTGAGTTGACGTAGCTGCAAGCAAGCAGGTACAGAAGCTGAACTGGGCAGTTAGCAAGACAATGTGATGTATACATTGGTATTTCCCATGGAACTTTCCAGGTTGGCATAGCAGCAAGCAAGCTTGAGGGAGTGGGTCAAAATGACTCTAATTGAGTGCAAGTTAGAGAATGGTTAGTAACATCTAAACAACCAATCTCTGCCAGGGTACATTGCCCAAGAAAAATGGGAACCAAAGAGAACAATTTTACATTGTGTAAGAATTGCTATTTTGTGTTGCCGAGTATGTTCTGCTAGGTAACTATTAATGCATACAGAGGTGGGGCTTTCTCATGGGAGAAGCATTTCTTACATGATATGGAGTCTCAGGGTAAAATGGAGTCTGTTTGGTCATTGCCCATATAGCCTGGCTCATAACAAAATGTTTTGCTTTAGTCCTACAGTCTATTAAGTAGTTATCACTAGTTAATGTGCCTAATTGATATGGAACTTTCTACATTAGTTTTCTACATTTCTACGTTTTTCTACTTTTCTACATTTCAGTTTTGTCAAAAATGAAATGATATCAAATTTTAAAAAATTTACAGCTTATTGTGCATATAAAAGGACAGTTCATGAACTGGAAGACCTCAGAACAAGTGGTCAGAAACTCACCTTGCAGCATCATTTATAAAGCATAAAAGAGGAAGCATCTCAACCTTTTTTGTGATTGGCTGTTAAATACCAACCTTCTCTTTAGGGCAAGCAGAGCTATTTAAGTCTGATTTGTCTTTAGCTGATTGGTTTAATTTTACTGAATCATGCTAACAAAAATTTAAGTAAAGCTGTCCTTTTGTGTTTCATTTATGATTGGAGATAGACCAGGGAAATCAGGATGGCTTAAGCTTTGGTGACTTGGTTATGGATGGTTGGCCTTGTAGGGCATTGTCTACCTTAACTGTGGTCTCCATTTTTATGGGTCTTGACCAGTTTCTAAGTTCAAAGTTTTGGATACCCAAATTTCCCCTAGTTCTACCAAGCATAAGAAATCAAAAATCATAAATAATGTTCTCTCTTAGTTTTCTTATTTATACATTCTCGAGGCCTGTCTGGGGAGAGCCGCTCCTAAGACAGGTGCAAGGGCCCATTACATAAACTGTAGTGTATTTCTCAGGAAAGGTTTGTCCTCACTCCAGTAAAAAATGGTAGGGATCACTGCCTCTCAGGCAGTCTTTAGACAGCATTTTACAGCCCCTAGAAGCATGGAGAGAGATGATCATTCCTTTTGGATTTGGGTTTAAAAGTAGGGCCTGTGCAATTAGGCACAAGCCTCAGGGAGGGCCCCTTTACTCACTGACAGGTTCATTGGAAATTGCTGCCAGCTCCTTTTTGTCCATTGTGCTAGACAGAGTGGGGAGAAGAAAAGTTCTAATCTGTTCCCTTCTCTGCACTGTGCTGATCTGTGGTACGTTGATGGTGATCCCCCAGGTGAGTTATTTTTATGTTATATTTAGGGAATAGCTAGTTATACCATAGCAGTTTGACAGGAAGACTTTATGCCACTTACAGTAAGTATGAAGACCAATTAGGATGTATGGATAAAGTACATAGGTAATATTTTAAAACATGTTTTCTTAAAAAAATCATTTCTCTATTGTGTAAGCAATGCATCTTCTTTGTAGAAAAGTTAAGAAAAAAGTGTAAAAGAGAGAGAGAGAGAGAGAGAGAGAGAGAGAGAGAGAGAGAGAGAAGAGACAGAGACCATAATTCTACTTCCTAAAAATGGTCTTGTCCTATTTTGTAAACACAGTAATCTTGTGTGAGGGAAATTGGTCACACCTTCCAGTGATTATCGTCTTACTGAACATTCACTCATTCATGGATTCATTCAACAAGGATATATCTACATCTGTTATGTGCCATGTGTTGAAGACACACAGAGCATCAAGTTTCTATAAGCATAAGGAAGAAAAACAAAGCAGGATAAGGAAGGGAGATGACTTTGGTATGTGGGTGGAGGGTATGAACTAGAAAGAGTGGGCTTTCTTGTGTACTGTTTCATTTTGTATGGTCAAAGATGATGTGCCTCTCAGAGAAGGAGACAGCACCAGAAGATGGATGAGGGAGGGAGCCATGGGGCATCTGAAGTCATGAGTCAAATATTCAGTTTGTTTCAACTTAGATACTTGCTTTTCCTTACTGTTGATTATTAGTTTCTGGACCTAGTATACATAAATCCCCCAAGGGGCTTGTTTTTTTTTTTTTAAAATGCAGTTTCTTAGAAACATTATAGTGAATACTGAAGAGACGTTTCCATTCCTACATTTTGGCAAACTACACCACCCAGAACAATGGAAGTACTTTCTTTCTTCTGGAAAAAAAAAAATGTTAGCAGAGGCTGTGTTTTAATTTTCAATTTGAAAAATGTAGTTTATACTTTAAAATATCCTATGTGATTTTCTCCAGGGACTGTATAGTTATTAAGCAACAGTGGATCAATGTTTAGAGCAAAACATTTTAAGTTTTGCAGATTGTTCAAAATTTAATTTATGCTAATAAGTGACATTATTTTATAGTCACACTTCACTTAAGTATCAAGGGTTGGTGAACCAAATGTTTTATGTCACTGAAATTTCCAGGTGATCCATATAAAACTAGTATGTATAAAACTACTCAGGACTCGGACTACGTCAATTTGACATACTCTGCCAATTTGAAAGGACTGCATCCATTCCTTTATTAGTTTGCAAAAGAAAGGGGTGTGTGTGTGGGTGTCTTATGAAGGGAGATGAGTAGAGTAGGGGAAAGGGGAGAGAGAAAGGGGAAACGCTTGGGAAGATGTTGGCCATTAATGCAGTTTCTTAGAACATGGTAGTGAATATGAATACTGAAGCGACTTTTCTGTCCCTACATTTTGGCAAACTACACCACCCAGAAGTACTTTCTCTCTTCGGGAAAAAAATTGTTATGTTGCGTGTGTGTATGAATATACAACAATGAATCTCACCATTATGTACAACTATAATGCACCAATAAGAAATACGGATAAACAATATCACAGTTAAAAAACAAGACAGACAGGTAGTTTGCAGTTATATTAGTTGACTCAACGGCAGCTGTCTTTGAGATTTAGGGGAACCCTAGAACCTTCACATTTCACATAATGGGGAAGACAGGAGAATGGCTGATAGAGAGTTCTATTCTATTCCATTCTATTCTAGAAATAGAGCACTAACTTACAGCCGAAAGTCTCTCTTCTCTAATGATAATGTCAACAAAATACAAATTTGTGTTTTTTTTTTAAATCACAGTAATTGGTACTGGGGGTGTAGCTCAGTGATAGAGCACTTGCCTAGCATGTGTGAGGCCGTAGCTTTGACCTCAGTAGTGCAAACAACAAACAGCTCAACAAAACAACAGCAACAAGCACACACTAATTCGTGCAACAAATATTGTCTGCAATAGCAAATAAGGTGACAGGCTTAGTAGAGGCACCCCGATGTCTTGGTAACTTAACGGACATTTATTTCTTGCTCATAGAATGTTCTTGTGGATGGAGCTGGTTGACTGTAGTGAGGGTGGTAAGGGGGTGTCTGGCCCCATGGAGTTACCCAGGGCTGCAGGCTGACCAAGCACTATCTTCTTAACCCATGAACCCCTAGTTCAGGGTTTGTGCATTCAGCTGGCAGATGTGGGAGGAGAGGGAAAATTTCAGAATATGGAAGGTCTTTATTTGTCACTGCTGGAAATGAGAGACGGCAGAAACTGAATTGGAGAAACTGTGAGGTTCCGAGGTTGAGGAAAGTATCTGCAAAAAAACCACCACCAACAACAAAACAAACAAACAAACACTCTACTGTTAGTTCAATTATCTCTTTCAAATTATTTTCTGAAGATAATTTATAAGCCAGGGATTACTGCCATTATAGGCACATTTGTTTTATGGCTCTTTGCTTCACACTTGCTGGATCTATTCCAGAAGGAGCGGATCAGTTACGGATGCAGCAGCACTGTCCTGGTGAAAGTCTCTTTCCAAAGTCCTCTCCCCAATGGGCTTTTCTTATTCCACAGTTCAAACCCTCCCGGTGGGTGGGAGACACAAGAAAATTTCCCCTTAAATTTCATGAAGATGGAAAGCTTCTGTAGACCTGAGTAGTTTGCAAACTAAACTCAAACATAGAAATAAAAGTCTTCATTGTTTTGAAAAATACTGAAGGAATTAGAAAGTTTTAAATAACAACCTAATGACTTTATATTTTCCTTTAAAAATATTACTTATATGGTTTATTTTACTGTTTTCCTCCCACCCCCTTCCCCAGAAAAGCCAGGATGCCACTATCTGGAAAATAGTGATAGTTATTATCGGAAAACTTGCAATAGGGTCAGCATTTGGCCTCATTTACATTTATACAGCAGAGCTGTATCCAACCTTTATAAGGTAAGGGTTAATATTTTTTCTGCTGTTTTCTTGTTATTGTCACTTTCATGTCAGTATATTATATTTGACCTCTAAATACAAATACTTTCTTCCCATAGAAGTTATCTGGATCTTTGAGATATGGGAAAATTGACTAATGATGCTGATTCTGAGTCTGAGGCTTTCTTTCTATCTCCTTAGCAAGGATATTAAAGAAATGATTTTGAAATAACACCCTATTATCCTAACACCATTTAAAATCTCAAATACAATAGACTTCCACTGGCTTTTTGTATGATTCAAGGCTAATTTTCTCAGAAGGTGTCTTTTAATGCTCTGAGGTCACCTATATGCATTTCCTAGGGCTGCTGTTATAAAAGAATACAGACTGGGTGGCTTAAACAATAGAAATTTGCCAGCTGAGGTGGTGCACATCTGTAATCCCAGTGGCTTGGAACTACAGCCTCAGCAATTTAGTGAGACCCTAAGCAACTTGGTGGGACTCTATCTCAAATTGAAAAACAAAACGGGGTGGGCATGTAACTCAGTGGTAGAGTGCCTCTGGGAGGGGGGGAACTCACAGTTTTGGAGGCTAGAAGTCCCAGATCAAAGGGTCAATAGGTTTGGTTTCTCTGGAGGCCTCCCTCTTTAGCTTGCAGATGGAGTCTTCAGGCTGTGCCCTTTTAGGTCTGTGTGCTTCCCTGGTGTTTCTCCTTATGAGGACACAAGTCCTATTGGATTAGGGCCTCTCATTAATAGCCTCATTTTAACTAAATGACCTCTTTAAAGACTATAACTTCAAATGCTGTTCCATTCTAAGATATTGGGGGTAGGAACTACAACACCCACATTTTGAGGGCACACAATTAAGCCCATGACATCAGTAGTCATTAACTCTCTGAGAAGCTCACCTCATCCAGAGGTCCCATAGCTGGAAGCTCCTCAGAATCCCTGAGGCATGTGGTACAGAATAACAGTCTCCCTTTCCCCCGGCAGACCTGGTGGGTCACTCTAAGAACGAGGGTCAGGATTTTTAACACATGATTCTGAGTTGCCACCTGCCATCTTTGGGAATGTCTAATGTGAATCTCACTGATCTAGGAGCTTCAAGCTTTTTAAAAGCCTTTTCAAACATATTTCACTTGAAAATCCTTTATGTGGTGAAGAGGACAGAAGTATTTTGGAAACTCTGTTAAGAGATCTGGAGTTTCCCCTTCTCCTTATCACCGCAGCAGAACCTCCAGGCCCAGAAGAGCATCCTTTGAAACTGCATTTCTCTCTGCAGCCCCTCATGTGTGGACAATATTGCGGGAACCAGGGAGATCAAGCACTCAGTACAAGATGCACTGCTGGGACCCCATGGATAAGAGGGGTTCTTTTTCCCATGTTATGTCCAACTTTTTAGCTCTTTGTTTGCAAAATGACCTTATATTTTAAAGTTTAAATAGTGATTAGTGTCACACTAGTGCTGTTAGACCAGGACGCAAGAAAAGACCACTGACTCCAATTAAAATCAAATTAAAGCAAGCTTATTATTTCGACCGGTTGGGCTGCCTCTCCCACCCAAAACCGCTGGAACAAGACAGCAACCGCATCTTTCCTGCAGCCCAGCTTTATAGCCCAGAAAGTTACACAAAGGGGGGTTACAGTTAACAGAACTCTGACGAGCATAACACAAATGGTAGTTTAAAATTTTGCTGGCCCCAACATCAGAATTTATGAAGGTCATTAGAACCTCAGAGAGGGTTATTATTTGGCTAGGGAAGGCCAAGATTTGTGAGGCGTCACTAAAGTTTCAGAGAGGACTGCTATCTGGTCAGAGAGCCAGGCATGGGTGAGTTCAAGGCACGGGCAGGTGCCGCAGTCTGGCTGGGCACAATCAGAAGCCACTTGTCAAAAGAAACTAACTTTATTTTTAGAACCAAACACGCCAAACAAAACAGCCTCTCAGGAAAAACCCTCAGAGCCTCAACTGCCACCACCGGCTTTTCACAAGCCTCTCTCTCCCCACACAAGCTTCTTTCCACCTCCCACAATCCTCCTGCTCTTGAGGCCAATTGGCTGGGTCACGTGGGCGGAGCCAAAAAAGTCCCCCAATGAGCAGCTCCGTGGTCTGAAAGGGCAGGGAAACAGTCCAATGAGCATCACCGCAGAGGAGGCAATCAGCTAGATGTTGCTGGGGCCGAGGAGCCAATCAGCTAGATGTTGCTGGGGCCGCTGTGAGCCAATCATCAGCCGGCAGCTGGAAGTTTGCTGGGGCCCCTTCGGCTGTGGCTCTCAACAGGCAGGCATTCCAAGCAGGTTCAGAATTTGCAGTAATTTATAGTAAAGCTGAAATTATCTTTTCATGGCTTTGTAGTGAGATGGCTCCCAATTTTAAGAAAATATCAGGTTGGGTCTATCAGTGCCACAAATATTTTATGTCCCAGATTTCCCTTTGTGAAGTTCTATAATAGTTTCCTCTTGACAGCCCCCCTCCCCAAATCCTCCAAGTTGTCCTTTCCTACTACCTACTTAATCCAATAGCAGTTCTTATTCTCTAAAGAGAAAAAATTTTAGTTAGTGAGGTTAAATAATTTCTTAGCCTATGAAAGAGCCAATCTTGATGGCAACAAATAAATAGGAACCTGGTATCAAGCCTTTTGCACAAGAGCTGTTTTTTTTTTTTTTGTACTGGGGATTGAACTTTGGGGCACTCAACCATGGAGCCACATCCCTAGTCCTATTTTGTATTTTTTTTAGAGACAGGATCTCACTGAGTTGCTTAGCACCTTGCCATTGCTGAGGCTGACTTTGAACTCATGATCCTCCTGCCTCAGCCTCCTGAGTTGCTGGGAATATAGGCGTATGCCACCACACCCAGCAAGAGCTGGTTTTTAAATACCTAATTGCTCATCTAGTGGTGTACACCATTTAAGGAGTATGTTATTTGTTATCTGTTACAGATGTGAAAAGCAAATAACTTTCTGTAGAGATAAGTCCATATAACACCAGCCCATAGTTGTTTCTTCTTGTCTCTATAAACAGTATGGATATAGGGCTGGGAAAATCCATTAGTCAAGTGAAAGCTTAAGACTTTTTCTAGGAATTGGCCATGCCCACACACCTGCCTGGGCAGAGTAGCCCTGTGCCTCAAGGATGGGTAAATACTCTTGTGTGAGCTGTAGATAGATAGATGGCTAGCTGCCTGGATAGGCAGGTAAGATAGACAGGGAGGGAGGTAGATAGATAGATGGATAGATAGATGGATGGATAGATAGATGGATGAAGACAGAAAGAAATCTAAGAAAAATGTACCAGATTAGTGTGTGCCCAGGAATATAAAATAGCAGAACTGATGATATCTGCCCATGTCATTGTCAGCCCAATTGTCTGGGGGTACAAGTGGATTTTTCTCTTTTCCCTATTTCTCCTCCAGGTCACCCAGAGTGCTTGGAAGGGAGAGTAGTCTAATAATAAACATATCTTCCTTAATCACCAAAACAGTTCTGTTGAGATTATTGCAGATTGTTATCTGAGTCTCTGATAGAATTAGGGTCTTGGCCAAAGGCACATGGTTAGTCAGTGTCAGATCAGAACTCAGATCCACGTTTTGGCCCTTTCTTTCATTCAGTGAAATACGCACAGATTTTCATGGAGACAGTGCTTAACACCAGCAAGAGATGAGTTACTAGGAGTAGAGCTTTAAGAGTAGAAGAGGTATTTTGGATGAGGGGTGTTTGGACTCATACCGTGAAAGTGGCAGCCTTGTGCAAATGTACACTAGCAGACAGCACTTAAAGTGTGACAACAGGGGAGACTAGATTAGCACATCAGTGTGGGAAGTTGTGTATTTGCCAATTCAGGCTGTGGCTCTGGGCTCTCTTGTTAATACCCAGGCAAGAAACATCCTGTAAATCAGGACAAATGGCTTTTCCATAGCTGGTGGGACCCTGCTGGGCTCTTAGGTGGATTTGTGCTCAGTCTGGAGAAGCTGCAGGTTTCTCAATGCCTGGGACATATTAGATTTAACACATAGATGCTGACTCCATCAATGTATGTTGTATGCAAAAAGGTGGCAACCCAACGAAATAATGTCAATGTGCGTTGTAATTATGGGTATGATGGAATTTTTAAGGACATTTTTGTTTGTTTGGTGTTTGGTTCTTGATTTATAATCACAGATATATGTCTTCAAAAAATCCAACATACAAATATTTAACAAAGTCTATAGTTTTCCTGGACAACATAGTGACATTGCACAGAAAACTTTGCAACATGTAACTTCTTTCTCAAAAGAATGTCATACATTTTGTCAGTTTCCTATAAATGTATTTGACCCAGAAAAAAATGAGGCCCCATTGAGTTACAGAGGTGCGTATTAATAGCAGTCTTCCCTTACTAATAAGCACACTTGAAGTAGTCTTCAAATAACCTTTAAAGAAAAATACATGAAGACATTGGCTGACTTTTAAAAAATTGACATAGTGCACAAATATGCAAATATTTTGTTCTCTCAACATCCCACTCCCAACCCTAAACAAATTCCTGGTCTAGGAGACTCAGCTTATCCTCAATGTTAAGTTGGATCAGGAGGTACTTGGCTTCACCTACCTACTGAAAGAAAAATGGTTTATACCCCCACACACATTTTTGTCTGGATTTATCTCTGCATGCTTGTATACACCACTGTTTCACACACTATAGATATAAATCATGGGCGATTCTTGAAAAATTAACATTAGTTCTGCCATTAAGTTTTATCATTTGTCCTCGTTCTGGGAAGGCCGAAAGGGGGCGCTAGAGAGTAGCTCCATCACCCTCTGCAGGCTCCTGTTCTTGCTGCTGTCTTACCCTCTTGGTGTTTCCAGGTCGACAGCGGTGGGCAGTGGCAGCATGGCGGGCTGCGTGGTAAGCATCGTGTCTCCGCTCACCAAGGAAATCGCCAAAACTTGGATCGTCGTACCACAGGTCCTCAATCAGTTCATAGAACTTACTGGGCTATCAGAGAGGCAGGGTAGCCAACTGCCTTCTCGATATTTATTTGTTGGAGGCCAGTTTGCCATTTAATAGAGGGGGTTTAGAGAAACAAGCGCTCACCAGTCAGCAGGTGGGGTGAAGGCAACTGTTTATCCCCCCCTTGCCCCTTGCCTTCCATCACTGCTGAGTTCATTTTGATCCTTGCTGCCAGAAAAGGGCTTCTCCCACCCTTAGCACACCCCTTCCATGCCTCTGCCTAAATAGCTGCTCCCAAAGATAATTCTCATTTCTCCCACCTCCCCGGCCAAACTGCCCCTTATCTTCCTACTGTCCTCCTTCTAAGAAGTCCCCTAGGATCCCATGACCCAGCCTCTCCATTCCCCATGCGTGTCTGCGCAGCATTTAGCATGCATCTCTTTCAAGGGACAACACAATCTGGCTTTATTATTTGCATGTTTCTTTGTCTCCACTGTGGAGTTGTTGTGGGATAGGACATGCCCTCATTTTGTGTGGCATTCACACTCTTGTTTTCTTAGTATCTTAAATCAGTCAGGTTGGTCTTTTGAAATTAGCTTTGTCCTAAAGGATAGCATCAGTGAATTTGTGAGTGTATTTGTATATTTTTGTAAAATACACTATCATAACTTCACAGAGAAGTAAACAAAGCATTTGGTCCCAGCTTAAGTCATCTTGTTCCACACAAGTGGCGTGCAAATTGCTCTTGGAGATCACTGTCCTAGCAGAGTGGCTGCCACATGGCCAGTAGCAGGTGCTTAGCAAAGTCTTCTTCTTTGTGGCATTAGGGCCTCAGCCTCTTTCACAGGCTGACTCAAGTTGAGAACATTATTGGTCTATGTAGCTTGTCTCCCTCTCTAGCATCTTGGCAGCTGCTCCTGATTGGAGGCCATCCTGTGTCTGAGGCAGGAAGAGGGTTGTGGTCACCAAGAAGATGGAGAAGGTGTCACAGTCAGTCTATTCTAGGCTCCAACTTGTTATTAAAGGTGGAAAGTACATGTTAGTGTTCAAAATAGACTCTGGAAAAAATCAGATGAGGCAAAATGAAATTGGTTATCCTTGCTAGTAACTGCTCAGCCTTTGAGGATGTTTGGAATAGACTACTGTGCCATTTTGGCCAAAGCTGGTGTCCATCATGACAATGGCAATAATATTGAATTGGGCACAGTGTGCAGAAAATACTATGGAGTATATACCCTGGCTGCTACTAAACCAGTTGATTCTTAAATTATTAGAAGTAGGCCAGAGCAGACTGGAGAAAAAGTAAGACATGCAATATTTTTCTCCAATCAGACTTCCTAGAGCTTGTTTTAAAAAGGTGTGTGTGTGGGGGGGGGGGGTCAGGGGGTGGGGGGGGGGGAGTAATATGGGCTGTCTGGTCTATACAGAAGGTGTTTGGGGAAAGTCTATCACCCTTTTTAGGGCATGGGATTTTCTAGAAGCATCTCTCTCGTGCTCTAGAACTTTGTGTTTCTCATAAAAAATAAAAAAGGCTACAAATAGACGGATGTTCTTTAAAACAAGAAACTGACACTCACTAAAAGAAAACAGATGTACCCATAAAAAGCAACTGCTATAAATTGACTAAAATCAATTTTTTTTTCTTTTTTGTGGTGCTGGGGATCAAACGCAGGGCCTTGTGCAAAGCCAAATTTAAAAACAAAACAAAACATGTTTTAAAGGGTATCTGTAAGGGCCCACTAAGCACTATGGAATGAAAAGAGATCATTTATTTTATTTAACAGATACTTCAATAGGCTCTATTTTAAGTGCTTTGCAGAAATTAGTTTTCATGTAATGCAGACACTATTGCTTCCTCCACTTATGGATGAGGAGACAGATGTACAGAAAGTAATTATTAGCCCAAGATCTTGCAACTTAAAGATGACAGAGCTCCTTTTACCCAAGATGACAGAGCTCCTTTTATACAAGGTTAAGCAGATAAAGCTGGACAGTGCTGTAGGGAATGCAGAGCAGTCAGCTCCTCCTCTCTGCCCACAGTGGTCCAGGCCCCGTCTCCAGGACAACCTCCAGCCCCAGGGTCTTGCGTATATTTGCAGAAATAGTCTGTGAATGTACTTCCTTTGGAAGCAACAGATGTTCCTTGTCGTCTTTAATGAATAAAAATAAATAAGCAAAGATTAATTTTCCCATACAGTTTGTATGTGGATGCCAAAGTACCCAAGGAACCAATGTTTTCATTTTGAGGGATGGAAACATAATCTAGAATTTTCTATCTTCTTTTTTTGAAAAGAAGCCCATGAAAATCACTTGTTCTGATGCCTCATTATCAAACCATTATTATAATCTAAATGAAAAAAAGGTAGACAAGAATTCATTTTTCTGTGTTCATGAACTCATTTGGCAAAGATTTTTAAAAATTTATTTTGAAGTTCTGGGGAGGAACTTGGAGCCTCCAGCATGCTAGGCAAGTGCTGTACCATTGAGCTACATCCCCAGCCCAGCAAAGATTTTTGAGTGTTGATTTTGAACTAACCCCTTTGCTAGTGCTAAGGAACTCAGATGAAAGGAACAGCTTCCGTCCTGAGAGACGACTCGTTCTGGAGGGGCAGCCAGAGGAGCAAACATCACAAGCCCTGGATAGGACTGGGGTTATGAGACCCAGGAGAGGGCTACTCACCCAGACTCGGTTCAGAGGGCAGCTTTCTGGAGGAGGGAGCCCTTCCTCTGTATCTGGGGACCAGTCAGAGCTGAGTGGGGAAGGAGAGAAGAGAACTCCAGGAAGAAGGCAAGGAACTTCAGGCAGAAAAGCAAAGGTTCCAAGGGGGAGAGACCATGTCTAGCTAGGCCTTGTTGGCAGTATGGCTGACATTCCTTGTGGGGAGTCTGGAGAGATGGGCAAGGATCGGAGGAGGTCAAGATAGAAGAATGAACAAGATACAGGTGGGCTGGAGAGGACAGGATGGGGAAGTCACATTCACAGGCCCTGGTTGACCTGTTAGGTGTGGCACAGAGGGGAGAGTCATTCTGGGGGGCAAAGGGGATCCTAGGAGGAAGAACAGGCTGGAGGAGAGAGGAAGGTTGGCATCTGGGCGGTGAGGGATGAGTGGGAGGTGGCCGCTGGACAGATTCGATGGATAGAGGAGGGAGTACTCCCCCAGGTCTGGACTCAGTGCAGCGGGGCCAGGAGGTGCAGATCTGGGAGACTGAGGAACGGAACCCTAGAGCAATGGCACTAAGGTGTGGTGGAGGGAGGAGGAGTCTTTGCAGAGACTTAGGAGCAGCCAGGGAGATGGATGACCAGGACCCTCAGGGAGGAGAAGAGGTGAAGAAGGCAGGAGAGGACAGTGGCCAGGAAAGAGCAGGACAGGAAACTGTCCTTTGACGGGAGATCTGTGCCTAGGAGAGCAGTTTCTGCCGAGGTAAGAGAGGGGGGTCAAGCTGAAGAAGGGCAGCCAGAGAGATTTGAAAATGGGGACCCAGGGAAAGTTGGGGACAGGTGGGTAGGGAGGTTCAAGCATCATGTTTTAAAAAATCAAACAGCACAGCAGTAATGGTAGAATATTAAAAGCATCTTGCTTTTTAAGGTAAGTTAGCAATCATGATAGCTAGTGTTTATTGGTTACTTACCATAGGGTAGGCACTGTTCTAAGCTTAAAACTATTATTTAATTTCAGCTTCTTAATAGTCCTTTGAGGCAGATGCCAGAAATTTCCACTGAGTTGAGATGTTAAGTAACTTGCCTGAGGTCACCCAGGTAGCAAGTGGCAACAACCCAGGCAGAATGGTTCTGGAGATTATCTGAGCTCAATATTTATTTATTTTTTTTTAGTTGTAGTTGGACGCAATAGCTTTATTTTATTTATTTTTATGTGGTGCTAAGGATAAAACTCTGGGCCTCACACATGCTAGGCATGCATTCTACCACTAAGCCACACCCCCAGCCCAAGAACTTTTGTTTTTATTGAAGGGAAGTATCCATCAGAAAGGAAAAGTTCAAGAGTCTGTGAGAAGGAGGGAGACCTTTGGTGGAAGGAGGCAGGGAGAGCTCTGAGGAGTGGGTGAGAGGCCTTGGGATCTGGCCAAATGAAGGGATCAGCCTGGCTAGGAGGGCTGAGAGGTGGGGGAGGGTGGGGCCTGTTGGGATATTTGGTTTGGGGAGCTAGCCAGGATAGCAGGGTTAAGTAGGAGCCGGGAGTCTTAGGCTTGTATACTGCTTGGCTATTCTTACTACCAAGCCAAGGAGAAAAATTCAGTTCATCTTGAATCTTCCATTTGACTCCATTTTGCATTTAGACATATTCACAGTGTTTTTCAAACCCTTATGTAAGACAATTCTAGATCAATGAATATACCTCCTACGTCTTGAGACACCAGCAAAAGCCTTTAAAAATCTTTTGGAATGTCACTTTAAATTCTGCTCTTGCTCCTAGATGAAGCTTTCTCATGTATTTCTAAGAATTAGGCCATCAATGTTCTGCAAAATAAAATAAGAAACTGCCTTCCCAGGTCTTATCTGTTATGGATGAGGTCTTGCACCACTTCACAGTTGCACTATGTATCTTATGATTTTCATTCCCAGAACTCTAAAAATACCACATATGTAGATTTATCAGAAAATCCATGCCGTAATTTATTTTTATGGGGTCTTTACAGCAAGTTTTTCTTTTTTCTAAAGGAGTTTAAATTGTGTAAGGAAGAACCATATTTTATACAGGCTACATATACAAGTTTAGTTCTTAAAACCCACCCAGCATCTTCATATTGATTGACAGAATAGTTATGCAGACTTTAATTTTCAATGTGATTTGAATTTCAGCCTTGACATAGGCTGAAAGCTTGCCTTTTATGTGTCAAAAATCTACAAAGAAATCATACTGAACTCTTATAGGAAATCAAATGAACACCCCCAATACTTCCTACCCCTGTGCCAAGTAGCTTTAGTTTCTATTACTTTTGTTTTGTTTCTCCATAAATTCTGTAGGTTCTGATTCACTGAAACTTGTATTTACTTATTTGTTTATTCATTTGTTCTCCATCATTTACTGAATGCTGGTAGTATATCATTTATCGGGGCAGGGATACAGTTGACTAAGACAATCCCCGATTGCCAGGTTCCAGCTCAGGGGTCAGTTCCGAAGATTCTAGAATGATGGTGCAGGTCTCCCCATTGTAAGAGTGCCTACAATAATATAAGAGTAGCTGGCATTTGTTGAGTAGATGGCCTGCAGTTGTTCATGAATGAATGAGTGACTAAATTAAACCTAGTTGATGAGTTAAAGAACTCCCAGTCTAGCACAAGTAACCCAAGGTCTTGCCAGGGAATAAGAATATCTTTTCTGTGAAATTTAATTCTATTGCCTTTTGAAAAGTTTCAGAAATTATTATTCTCTTAAGGGCACATTTATTTTTTTTAAATTTGTTCTAATTTATTATACATGAAAATAGAATGCATGTTGACACATCATACATAAATGGAGTACAACTTCTCACTCTCCTAGTTGTACACGATGTAGAATCACACTGGTCATGTTATCACATATGCACATAGGGTAACATTGGATTCATTCTACTATCCCCATATCCCCTCCCCTCTCTTCACTCCCTTCTGCCTAATCCAAAGTTAACTCTCTTCTTCCCTAGCCATGGCCCTTATTGTGAATTAGCATATGCATATCAGAGAAAACATTCAGCCTTTGGTATTTTGGGGATTGGCTTATTTCACTTAGCGTGAAAACTCTCCAGCGTCACCCATTTACTTGCAAATGCCATAATTTCATTCCTTTAAGACTGAGTAATATTCCATTGTGTATATAGACCACAGTTTATTCATCTGTTGAAGGGCATCTAGTTGGGTTCCATAGTTTAGCTATTGTAAATTGAGCTGCTATAAACGTTGATATGGCTGCATCACTGCAGTAGGCTGATTTTAAGTCCTTTTGGTTTAAACTGAGGAGTGGGATAGCTGGGTCAGATGGTGGTTCCATTCCAAGTTTTCTGAGGAATCGCTATACTGCTTTCCATAGTGGTTGCACCAATTTGCAGTCTCACCAGCAATATATGAGTGTACCTTTTCCCCACATCTTCGCCAACATTTATTATTGCTTGTATTTTTTATAATTGTGAAGGGCATATTTCTTTCTTGGCATGTCACTTAATATAATTATTTTTAATTCCGAAGTTATCCCTTGCGATTTTGGCCCTTGAGTGTACTACTATCCATACAGCTTCCAGAAACCACTGGGAAGCCATTGGCAACTACTTGGGAGGAATTTGCACAACTGGAGGCAAAAGAGAAATCATATAACAAAACTAAAGGAAAAGAGCTGGAAAAAAAGGAAGCAATTGACCTTGAGGGTTCTGCTGCTGCTGCTGAATAAGTGTGCCCTCTGTGCTATGTAGCACCTGACACGTTTTTTATGTGAATGCCTTTGTATTATAGGACGATTATTCTTGTCTCTTGCATGCTATTTATGTGTCTTTCTAAAAATTTTGTAAGAAAGATTTAAACAATTGTTTTGTAAAAGGAAATGGAATAAAAACCAAGATGAGAATTCTCATTTTAAAAAACTGTTTTCTTTCTTTTTTGGTAATGGAGATTTTGAGACAGGGTCTCACTGAGTTGCCAAGTGCCTTGCTAAGTTACAGAGGCTAGCCTTGAACCTGTGATCCTCTTGTCTTGGCCTCCCTAGTTGCTAGGATTACAGGCATCACCACTGAGCCCAGATAAAAACTGCTTTCTTTTTTTTTTCTCAAACCAAAGTCACTTTATTGATTGATACCATACATGACTCAAATGGCAACCCCTCAAAAGGCATTACAGTTGGGGTGGGACACCCACCTTCCTCACCCCTTCCCTTAGCTTCTGACAGCACCCTCCCCGAAGTGGCAGTTGGAGTGGAGAAACAGGGCATGAAAACTCCCTAATCCAGAGGGAAGAGTGAGGGGAGAGGTGGCCCTGAAACTTCCTGGGACTGGCCACAGGAAAAGGCAGCAAAGCCAGGAGCTGGGTCTAGCTTCATGGGACCCTTGCCCTAATCCTCCACATGTCCAAGTGTGAACTGGAGCTGAGGATCCTGGCTGCCCCCTCCTCCCTTCTGTGAGGAAAGAGGAGGAGGAAGAGGTGTTGGGAGATGAAGACCCTCTACCCCAGCTGGTGGACAGAGGCCTATTTCTCCTTGGTGGGCTAGAGCTGAGATAGTCTTAATGGCTCCTTCCCCTCTGAGGGGAGGCTAGTCTAAAGGATCACAGGAAGAGAAGAGGGTTCTGGTAGAGAGTGGATGAGCCCCTCTCCCATCCCATGCCTACCCAACAGAAACCAAAACAAACAAACAAAATACAGTGACAAAGAGCCTCCATACTCCCTGAGGGAGGGAGCTTCCCCTCCCCCCATCAAAATCAGCTGCTTTAGTGAAGGACTGGTAAAGAACATACCCACCATGGGATGAGGGTGGGGTGGGATAGAGGTAGTCACCTTCACTGTAGGGCAGGCTAGAGTCCTGGAGGATGGGGACACAGAGACAACAGAGGGGGTTGTCACAAAAGATGTGGCTATCAATACCCCACCCCACCATGGCGTGCCTTCCCCAACTCCAGTCACCCAGAGGAAGAGGGAAGAGAGATGGCAAAGTGTCTCCTTGGTCTGAAGCTCTGTAGAAAAGTGGTATGCATACCTCCACCCCTACTCTCACCTCCACTGAGGCCTTAGGCTCTCCCATGTACCAATAGGAGGGAGGTCACTGGACTTTAATAAGGGGAAGAGGGGGAACATGGGTGATTTAAAAAAAAACTTGCATTTTTAATAATATTATGTTTTAAAAACCTTGGAGCTGGGATAAGTGGCAGAAGGGACAAGAAGCCCAGAGCTTTACCCTTCTAATACCAGCCACTTAGGGGAAGGGGTGTTCAACCAAGCCCCATGACCTTAACCCTTAAGGGCTGTGGGTAGGCTTGAAGGAGATAAGCCAGGAGAATGGGGAACCCACAATTGGGGGTGAAGATGGAGGCAAATGCCCTCCGGGGATGGTCAAAACAGTTCTCAGAGGTCCAGGGTCCACATAGGCACCAGAGTAACCCCTTCCCCCAAGAAGCTCTTCAGGGGCCAGGCCCAGCCCAGGGCCACTGGGGGGCACATCCTGGAACCTTCCCCCAGCAAGTCCAGTTCCTCCATGAAGTGGGTGGATGAAGGCTGCCCATTTTAGATGCTCAGTCTCTTGTGCCTTCTGCTCCCTGGGGCTACAAGGGGCGGGGCAGGGAGGCCGGCAGAGCACTGGGTGGCCCTGGCAGGGCCTTTACTGGGAAACCTGGGTGAGGAAGTCTTGCTGTTCCAAGGGCTGTTGGCGCCCAGGGCAGGAGAGTTGTTAAAGCTGACCTCATCAGGTGCTTTTTTTTTTTTTTTTT